TTATAAGTTATAATAATACTTATGTATAAATTAAATATATGTATACATAACATTTTATATTATGAAACATTACTAAAGTGTAATAATTATAACATATTAATATGTAGGATATTCACTATCATACATTATAATATTAACATATAAGTTAGACTATTTAAAATATATAATTTGTAATTTTATATTAGTACAGTTGTATAAATAAAGAAATATATAGAGTTAATATTAAATTGCTATGATTATAATTTGTATACGTGTATATAATAAAATAATATGTTTTAAGTATATTATTAATTAAGTTTACTATCAATTCTTCCCAATATATATAACAAAAAGATTATATATTAATATATACAAAATATATATAAAAAATTAATTGGGTTTTTTGAGTGAATTGGTCTAAAAATTTTAAAACTGAGAACCGACCACAAAATTAATTAGACCAAACATTTTGGACCAATTGACTGTTTTACTCAAATTGTATTTGATTTAGATGGATAATTGATATGGTTGGTTTTGCTCACCCCTACCATTGGATCCGACTAAAATAAACAGAAATATATATGGACATGCTGCAGCAAGTCATGATTTTTGGCATGGCACATTGATATACTAATTTGGAGATATCAGCAGTAGCGCACAGCAAATGGCACAAGGCAAATGTACTTTTGTCGAGTAACATGCATTATTTTGTATGGGGCGTGGCTAAAATTTAATGATTTAAGGTCATCAATCAGTTAATAATTGGATTCGAAACAAAAATTATCACTTCTGAAATAAAATTGAATTGTAACATGAAATTGAAATTATATTTATACCTTAGCAGCGATGGCACGTAAATACTTGGCACGGACAGCGCCAGAAGCCAAAGCCCAGTCCTTGCCTTTGTTTCTAGAAAGGGCTCTCCGCGCAGCAGCCACGGCAAGGTCCACATCTTCAGCTGTAGCTGCTGGAATATCACCTGAAACCTCAAAGAAATTTAAACATTTCATAACCTTATCCAAGTGAAGATCCTGATTAAACCAGTAATCAACAAAATTAAAGAAGCTGGATCGAGGAAAAAGGAAAAAGAATAACCGATGATCTGTTCAGTGGCAGGGTTGATGACAGGTACTCGTTTCTTGAGAAGGGGCTCTCTCCACTCGCCGTCGATCAGTAACTGTCGGCTCGGAATTTGGACCGCCATAGTGATCTCAAACTCAAAACTAAAGAAGAAGCCTTTTGAGCAGTGGGGTGCTGGTGCTTTGAGAGGAGAGTTGGATGACTCTTTTCTTGCACACTGGCTCCGTTATCAATTAGCATTTTATATACGACAAAATCAATAATTTAATTTTTGTGAAAATACAAGTTTGCCTAAAATTATTCAAAAAATGTGAAAAAATTAAGATTAAAAAAAACGCAAATAGAATTTACTTATGATAATATTCCGCGAGATGGAGACTCGAAATGCACACCCGAATCCAAATCCCAATTTCATGGATTTAAGGAAAACATTGGTAACTTCAATTCCCTCCTCCACATTCACAATTAATTATTATTATTATTATTTTCATAAAGTAGACTATGCAGTAGTATGTTGTTTTTTTTGGAACTGAAAAATTGCATGAACAAAAGGGGCCCACACTCCTCACCTAACCCATCAAATCAATGGGCCCTACAGGTGTTGTTGTCTTCACTCCTTTTCTTCCAGGTGGCCTTTGGGCTTGTTGGAATATTTAATTCTACATTTTTCATTCAACATGCCTTCACAATTTGGGTACAACATTTGTGATGAGATACATGACATGCAAACTCAATGCCACTTCCAGCTGCAGGGGCATCTCCTAGTCCTACTTTCCCATTTTCAACAAACACTTTAAACACATTCTATTCTGGAAACAACACCTTGAGACCTTTAAAGAAAAAAGGGCAGTTTGAACATTATAAGATATAAAATAATATTACAGCTGTTAAACTTGGACCAACTTCACTTCTTTTATCCCAACAGGCACAGCCATAACTCAGCCACAAGAGAAACACCATAACTAACAAGCTATCAAACCAAAGAATGCAGTAGCAGAGCCAAAATTATGCTATTATGCCCCCCAATAACAACTGACTCGTTTCGCACTTCAGGCTCAAGACACACTACACTGGACGGCTATTATGCTATTATGCATCCTTACATCCTTGGACAACTTTATACCCTACACTGGACAGCACTACTGATAATGCGACACTACGCTCATAATACACTGCAGTTCCTACGACTGAAGCCTGCTGTTCCTCTCTCTTCAAGTATTACAAAGAAAACCTCTCCACCACCTGTAGTTAATATGAAAAATTTTGAAACCGAAACTTTCAACCACTGCAGGTTGCATGTAAATAAAATGACCAATTGTTTCGAGATAAAAAATAAGAAAAGTTAGAAAACCCACCTCCGGAACACATATCTGCAAGTAAGAAGCTGCGTCATCAAGGACATCAATTCAAAAAGATTATCATCCTCCAATGCAAAAGCTTAAGATTGGTTGATTTGGAAAGTTAATTAAGCTTGCAAAACTTCCTGAAAGTTGAACCAAGAGTAACGCACTGTGAGTTAATCATAAAACAAGGCAGGAGAAACATCATAGTTTAACATACTGACCTCATGATGACAAATGTTCAGTTCAAGCATCTCTATCTGACATTAAAGCAGGTTGAGAAAATGATTTGTACCCTCACGAATTCCTCACCAGTACATACTTCAATAAACATGGCAACATTGCTTAGAAGCAACCTCATATTCTCCCCGCAGCAATTAAATGAAACAAGGTTCGTGCTAAAAGAGTTTGTAAATTTTACGCAACAGAAGGATTTTGTCCAAAAGTGCTACAAGGCAAATGATCAGCCATCGAGTCTAAATCCTGCACTTGGGTACAGCTATGCACTCAAGAACTGGACAGTCACACAAAAAGTACCAGATTTCTTCACAATCACTGCATTTTAGAAAGTAAAGAGACATAATTCCTCAGAAATAGGAATGAGATCAACAGTGTTGATAAGCCCAAATCAGATAGAACAGGCTTCACAATTTAAACTGTCGAGGAAGACGGCCACATCTGCTCTGCAATCTCAAAATCCCCTTTGCAAAACCTTGATTACCTGTCAGCAAAAGTCCATCCAAAACCCGATTGAAGGTTAATCTTCGAGGCATAAATCCTCTATCAACCATCTCAATCAACAACTTCCCAGCCACCACTAAATCATTGGGTTTCTTCCTTACAAACATTGCACTTATCAAAATATTGTACGTATCCAAATTTGGCAAGCAATCACCACAACTCATTTTTTGAAACAACTCCAAACCTTTCTCAATCTCACCAGCATCACAGAAATACCGAATCACGATATTGTATGTCTGCACATTTGGTCCACACTCATCATCCCTCATTTTATCCATAAATTCAATAGCCCTATCCATTTGTTCTTTATGACACAACCCCCTAATCACCACATTATAAGTAGTTGAATTCGGAGCATAACCCTTCCTCAACATCTCCTCAAAAACCAAAACAGCATTCTCCACGCAATCTTTCTTACACAAAACTTGAATCAGAGCATTGTAAGTTGCAACTGAAGGCAACACACCTTCCCTAACCATCTCATCGAAAACTTTTCGAGCCCTCTTAATCTCCCCAGCAACGCCAAGTCCATGAACTACAGTAGTATAAGTGACAACGTCAATTTCACACTTTCTCTTCTTCATTTCCAGAAAAAACTTCCAACCCTCTTCAATTTGACCGGCTCTAAAATAGCCTTTTAGCATTATATTATACGTAGTCAAATTTGGAGCCAAACCTTTTTCCACCATCTCCTTTAAAGTCTCAAGAGCCCTATTTGTCCTCTTAATCAAGCACCAACCGTTTGCGATTATGTTATAACTAATAACATCAGCTTTAAACTTTCCTCTGAGTACTTTAAAAAAGTTGCATGCTTTCTCAACACGTTTAGCTTTACATAAAACATCAAGAATTGTATTAAAAGAATGCAAATCCTGGAAACAACCATGTTCATGCATTGACAAGAAGATTTTAAGGGCTTTATCGGGTTTTCCAGCGGCGACGTACCTTTCGGCGATGATGGCGAAGGTTTTGGGGGTGGGGTGGAGGCGGAGAGAGCGCATACGGTGGAGGAGGGTGAAGACGGTGGCGTAGTGACGGAGACGGGCAGCGATGTCGATGGCATGATCGAAGGAGGAAACGGAGTGGATGTAGGAAGGGTGGTTGTGGAGGAGGAGGTGGAAGAATTGGAGGGCTTTGGGGCCGTGGTTCCAGAGCTGCTTGAGGATGGTGTCGACTAAACGTGGGGTCCAGTTGATGGAGGGGGAGAGGAGGGATTGGGTAAGGGATTTTGGGTTGGTGGAGGTTAGGATAAGGTTGGTGAGGATGGCGGCGGCGGAGGTGGTATCTTGCGGCTGTGGAGTGGTGGTGCTGAAGGATTTAGGCAGGTGGAGAGCAGTTTTGGAAAGGGGTGGAGCGAGCTTGGGGAGTAAAGAAAACATCTTTTTGGGGCCTTAGGGCCAGTGTCAGTGGAGAAGACAGACGCTTTCAAGCAGAAAAAGGAAGTGTTGATGTTCCACTCAAACAGAAATGCAAAACAAATCGCCCTGCCCGCAGGCAGGCAAGCAACAAAGGAGCTTCCAAAGCTAAAATAGTCAAATTGCTCTTCTTTTTCCTTTTCTTTATTATAGTAATAAAAAAAAACTTTTTTTTCTTTGTTCTTGGACTTGTGGTTGGGCCATTTCCGAGCCCAGTTACAAGAAGTTGTATTCTGTTTTCAAAATGCTGGGCGGGGATCGATCAAAGCAGTAGCCATTTTATACAAAACAGTGCGAGAGGGATGTTCAAAGAAGGGCGCCAGCTTCATTATTACTAGCACTTCAATTCAATCCACAAACCTATTTTTCAAAAAATGAGTTCCAAAGAAAGTTGCAGAAGCGAGCTCCGCACTGCCATTCGCCAACTCAGCGATCGTTGCCTTTACTCTGCTTCCAAATGGTAACCCCTAATGAACCCTAAATCCTAAGCTCTCTTTGCTTTTCTATGTTTTGACTCTCTCATAAAAAACCCATTTCTCTGAGTGCCATTCTAAGTGTTTATAAGGTGTTAGCAGATCTCAAAAACGCTGCCAAGCTAGTGTTTTTCGTGGCTTCTTGAAGTAGAAATCCAACCTTTTCTTTTCTTTTATTATGGGCAATCTAATGCCTTAATTTGGGCTTCAAAGTTTGGCTTTGCTTTGCTTTCAACATGCCTTTTTTATGATAAAGTCATGTTCTTTATTGCTCCAGTTTCTTATTGAGATGCAATCTATCATCAGAAATTTTATAAAATTTGAGTCCTAATGTTTACAGAAATTCTACTTGGTATTTTTGCGAGATGAATCTTTGGTTGGTTTTTATTTACAGGGCAGCAGAACAGCTCGTGGGAATCGAGCAAGACCCGACAAAGTTCACACCTTCAAACACAAGATTCCAGCGTGGAAGCTCAAGTATTCGCAGAAGGTTTCGGACCAATGAGATCACTTCAACACCACCCACTGGTGTTGCCTATGTGTCCACTCCGGTGATGGAGGAAGATGAAGTGATACATGGTGACTTCTACCTTCTAGCAAAGTCGTATTTCGATTGCCGAGAGTATAGGAGGGCTGCTCATGTGCTTCGGGATCAAACTGGAAAGAAATCTGTGTTCTTGCGATGTTATGCTCTTTATCTGGTTTGTTCATTTCTCAACTGGTTATCTTGTAATTTGCATCACTTGCTGTTTTCTTATTCCTGGTTTTGATTGTCTAACCATGAGTGCTGTTGTGGTAGCTATTTTCATGAGTGAGTTTTTTTGTTTCACAAGTTAGTAGACCACCTGCCTCTTTAGAAAACATTAGGGAAAATGAAAGTGGGCCTATAGCACATATTATAATATCATCTTAATTTATGTGGAAACTTATCGAGGAGAATATTCTGAGGTGGTTAATCATTCATCATCAGTGAAGAAGATTGTCCTTGTTACAAAGTATAAAAACTTGAGGTGATGCAAGCTGTTGATTTGGATAGTTAGTGTAGCCTTTTTTCCCTCTTTGTTTGGGCTTAATGGAGAATTATTGTTACTCGGTTGAGGGGGAAGGAGAAAATAATAACAATCTTGTATGCCTTTTCCTGCAAAAAAAGTCACACTATAAATATCCTTTTGTTTTACCATTTCTTATTATCTCATTTCTGATTTTGTTTCCATTGCTTGGTTAAATTTTTAAAATATTTGAGATGAGCAACTTAGGTGCTTCCTATTTACTTGATTAGCATATTAAAAACACAGTTTTGACCCATCACAAATAGTCTATATGAAAATATTGCTATTTAGTTGTCAGAGTTAGTCCTCATCTAATAACCGCGAATTGCATGAGGAACTTTGAAGAGTACCAAGTAACTCCATACTGTAGTTTTAGACTACTTGTAAAAATCCACACCAAACTTAGTAAATCAAAATTGTGGTATTCATCAAACTGCAAATATTAAAGCACCAGTCATTTCATTTATTATATCTTTTCAGTTGATCTAAATTGGCCTAGAGTTTGTGGCTGCTAGAAGGAGGAAACTGGAAAGGGACCTTAATAAAGTGTTGGAAAACTGTAGTTAGGTTTGGTCATTTGTCTGTGCCAATGCTATGTGATTTCTTCAAGCTGTCTTATGTTTCTATACTTTGCTCCTTGTATTGCTTCATGAAGGCTGGAGAGAAGCGGAAAGAAGAGGAAATGATAGAACTGGAAGGGCCCTTAGGTAAGAGTGATGCTGTGAACCGTGAATTGGTTTCTCTAGAGAGGGAGTTATCAACTCTTTGCAAGAATAACATGATTGATCCTTTTGGGTTGTACTTGTATGGTCTTGTACTTAAAGAGAAAGGCAATGAAAATCTTGCCTGCAAAGTTCTTGTGGAATCTGTCAATAGTTACCCTTGGAATTGGAGTGCCTGGTCAGAGTTGCAATCGTTATGCACTACAGTCGACATCTTGAACAGCCTCAATCTCAGTAATCACTGGATGAAGGAGTTCTTTCTTGCCAGTGTCTACCAAGAGCTCAGGATGCATAATGAATCGTTAGTAAAATATGAAAATCTACAGGGTAATTTTACATTTAGTAACTACATACAGGCTCAAATTGCTAAAGCTCGGTACAGTCTTAGGGAGTTTGAACAAGTTGAAGTCATATTTGAAGACCTTTTAAGGAATGACCCTTATCGAGTGGAGGACATGGATACATATTCTAATGTGCTCTACACAAAGGAATGTTTTTCTGCCTTGAGTTATCTTGCTCACAGGGTAATTATGACTGATAAATACAGGCCCGAATCTTGCTGCATTATTGGGAATTATTACAGTTTAAAAGGGCAGCATGAGAAGTCAGTCATGTATTTTAGGAGGGCACTCAAATTGAACAAAAATTATTTATCTGCTTGGACTTTAATGGGCCATGAGTATGTCGAGATGAAAAACACTCCAGCTGCAGTTGATGCCTACAGACGGGCTGTGGACATAAATCCTCGGGATTATCGAGCCTGGTATGGATTGGGACAAGCGTATGAGATGATGGGCATGCCCCACTATGCTTTGCATTATTTTCGGAAATCTGTTTTCTTCCAGCCCATTGATTCTCGGTTATGGATTGCAATGGCTCAATGCTATGAATCTGAACAACTTCACATGCTTGAAGAAGCCATCAAATGTTATAAAAGGGCAGCAAATTGTAATGACACAGAAGCAATTGCCCTGCATCGGCTAGCAAAGTTACATAGAGAACTTGGTCACCCTGAGGAGGCAGCATTCTACTATAAGAAGGATTTAGAAAGAATGGAAGCTGAAGAGAGAGAAGGACCAAATATAGTTGAAGCTCTGATGTTTCTTGCTACACACTACAAAGCACAGAAGAGATTTGAAGAGGCAGAGGTGTATTGTACCCGTCTTCTGGATTATGCTGGCCCAGTGAGTTTCATTGTTATTCTTGCAGCAAATGATTCAAAATAACCCTTTTTGCAAAATTATCAGATGTTTCAAATGAGTTTTTACTTATTTTATTCTTCTCTATGGTTGATTACAGGAGAGAGAAACAGCAAAGAATTTACTTCGAGGAATGAGAATAGCACAATCGGGTTTTCCTTCCATGGATGTTGAGCATTTTCATTCCTGATTTTCTCATACATTTGGATAGATGCTTGAAATTCTTTCGAAGCAGGTATAACTTTCCCTTTGGACTTGGGAAATCAAAGACCAACGAAAACCTCCAGGATATGCCAATTTCAGTTGGCTAGTTCTTGGTCGCTATTGCTACAGGTGCTCTCGTTGCATGTTTGTAACTTGGATAATATCCTCATTGTTGTGTAGTATCATAACAACTTGAAACATGTAGCTAGATGCCTGTATAATCCTTCTAGAGCTCAAGTAGATGGTACTTTACAAATGTAATCAGGCCTGTAAATCTTATCTGTGGCTTTTATGAACTGTTTGATTCAGTTGCGTTGAAAGGCAAGCAGCGACCATTAAGCACTCTAAATTGTTGCTTGTGTTGTCATTTTGAGAACAGGATGTTTGTTCTGTAAGATATTAGGTTTTTCCCGGAATACAGTTGTTGCCAAAATGTGTTATTTTTGGAGACTGTAGCACAGTGTATTAAAGGAAATAGATGATCACTATGATGAATACTGAGTAGGCAAAACGTGACATGTTTCCACATTGTCATATTTATTCTACTTTTGGGTTTTGAGTAAGTGAAAGTTCACTAAATTAGATGCTGCACATCTAATTTTGGGCCAAATGAAAAAGATCGCCCTAATCAACTGATAGCATCTTTCCTAACCAAATGACAACGCAGAGAACAACTAAATTTGCTCTGATGGGTAACGAAAGGAAATAGGAAGTTAGGACAGTTACGGTGCAGCCATAATTGGCCACTGTCATCACTACTGCTCTGCAAGCCAACAATACAAATCCTAAAGTGGCAAAATGATCCAAACCCAAACATTCATCTCAAAAAGGTTGAATTCAAACTCGCAAAATGAACTAAACCCAAAAATCTACCCGAAAAGCATTCAAATTCGAATTTGACCAAACCCAAACTGATCAAAACATCAAGGACGTAATTGCTAAATTATGTCCATCCATAATCCAGCTACAGAGGAGGCAATTCCCGCATCATAATTGCCCAATTACACCTTCATCATTCCTAATATCATATCAAGTTCTGGGAACAGGAAATCAAAGCATAAAGATTAAAGAGCAGAACAACTTCAATCCCAAATCATATTGCAAATGAAATAGTCATCCATGTAAGCTGAACTCATACAAGTTTCAGAGTTTATTCCCTTTAAAACCACATCAACTAAGCGTAAAATTAACACAACTCCTGTTATAATCAGCAGACAAAAGGACATCACTTGCCATTGAACATGACTTGGTTTTTTGTATTTTCTTTTCCATTTCGACATAAAGCAAAAGCAATGTCAAGCCTCATTTTGGGTCTGTGAAGAAGCTGTTGATGCTGGGCATGATTTCAGGTGCCCTGTTGCGGACATATTTTCTTACAAAATGCTCGGCATATTTTTCTCCCTCAGCAAAGTTATCCAACACCCCAGCAGCCCTGTTCTCCTTGTTTACCCTGATTCAATGCAGACATTACAAAATCAGAAAGAATACATTTCAGCACTTAAATTTATTATCACCATCTTTCCATCTTGTTTTGTTTTTCTCAAGTGCACCTCTCTAATCTATTAATTTTGTAATAAATTTAAAGAGAAAATAGCACATAACATAATTGGGGTTTTTTTCTTCTTTAGTGATTTATTGCTAAAAAGAAACAATTACTACCACCATTTACATTTTGGAAAAGAACGGGAAAGTAAGGCTGTAATTAGTTGATGCTTTTACTACTCGATTTTATTATTTGCCCTTTTTCTTCTTGAAGAATTGCTATAAAACAAAAGCAAAAGATAGCATGCAATATCATAATTAATTTAAAAAGGACATAAAATAATTAAAATGTAATACCAATTATTAAATTACATATTTTGTATATAAGCTTTCAAAAAGATTTTTACTTTTGTACCCAAAAATGCTTTTCATTTTTTGCCTCCAAATGCAAAACGCCAAACAAAGGGAGCCAAAGGTTAAACCAAAGCCTTTTCTTCTCCAAATAAAAGGCAAAACTCAATGAAAAAGGAAGTCACCAAAAATAGTCTCAAAAACCAAATTTAGGTGAAATACAAGTAGATATTAATTCTGGCCACAGTGAACAAACAGAAATTAATTAACATTGAAAACAGCATGAGTAAGTAGGAAGGGCAGCCCTTTTCTCTGTCAACCAGGATTATATCCTTGTGAGAAACACCCGAGTAAAATCCTGAATGAACCAAGAGTATATTAAAGGAAAAATGCACCCCCTAAGATCACCCAAGAAGGAGATTAGGTCCAGGCAAAACCTGGAAATGGCCCTCACTGTATTAATGAGAAAAAAAAAAAACAACCATTAACAGTCGCCTAAGCAATTATGCAATGCCTGGAATCACTAAAAGCTAAAATCCGCATGCAACAAGATTTCAAGTTCAACTAATGTCAAATTTCTCATAGCTTGTCAACTCCGAAAGAAACAAGATGGAGAGAGAGACCTGACTTCAGGATTGATGCAGATATTGCGCACCAACTGCAAGCCGCAGATCCCCACAGCAACACCAACGGCCGCGAACAGCGGATACACCTACACCGCACCGTTCATTCATTTCTTTTTAATTCATCAGATCTAACAATTTATTCACTCTAAAGTCTAACCTAAATAGATTATGCCCAAACAAAAGAGTCAAATAAAATCAAAGCCGTGGATCTGAGCTTACCTCAGGCCTCAACCATCTGTTTGCCATTGAGCACGCTGCACGGACGGATCGAAGCGGTAGATAAGCCAAAGAGAGAAGTTTCAAGTTTGAAATGGAACAGAAGGAGAAAGGAGAGGAGAATGCGAAGAAGAAAACGAGACTTTTTTACTATCTTGACTGTTTTGACGTATTGGGGCATTTTCTTTTTCAATTATTTAAATAATATACATGGTTGAACCTTATTGGCTACTATAGAGGGCCACATTTGGGAATCATCCAATCTGTGGATGACGCGTGGGCTATAGTGTGCTTGTCCACGCCACGACTATGGCATAGCATTATTGTTAGGCTTTGCCTTAACTCCTTTTTTGGTATGTTTAGGCCCTTTTTTTTTGGCTTTGTTGTTTACAGAAAGCAAAGCCATTACCCGCACAAAGAAAACCGTGTGCTACCTAACATATCAACTCAAAATTGCTGGGCAAAATGTATTCGATCCCGACAAATCAATAATTTGTTCCGTCGATTTTCAGAATTAAACTTCAATAGTATATTTTTAAGTATTATTGTTATTATTATGTATTATACTAGATGTTAAATATTTATTTTTCATATATATATTTTGAATGTTTCAATTTTGAAAATTATAATAAAATCTTTTATTTTGAAAGATAATGGATAGAATTGATAAACTGATTCAATTTTTGAATTGTTTTAAATTTTATCCGTTTTAAGATAAAACTCAATTTATTCAATTTTCAAACTTTTGCTGAAACTCCCCGATTCCTGGTTTCTGAAAAAGTCTTGACAAAAAAATTTTTTTCCTTGGTGAGCCAGACCGTAACCAACTCTCATTTGATGTTCCTGATTTGGTCAATAATGATCGTGCTGGCATTGTGTATCAAATTGGACACACACACAATCATCAATGATGAACTTGGCTATAATACCCAGCATAAGCGTCTACTTAGTGCTTCACACTTGTTTTACTTGGTAAATGCACGATCAGCATAATTAGAGCTAGTTCTAGAAACACACAGCTTCCTGAAACTTTTGGAAACGCCACCTTCCTTTACAAAAATCAGATGAAGCAAAATCGTTCTGCCTCAGGACTTCACCAAGGAAGCTACCACCATTTCTGACTTTATCTTGGCACCTTGCTAATTCTTTTCAAATTACTTGTTTCCACCAAAATTTATAGCACACCGAGCTGGCAAGTTGCTAGAGAAACCCCTAGAGGTTCAAAAACTAATTTCCCAAACCCATCTTGTTTTAAAAGTTTTAAGATTATTTGTGAAACATATCCTTACCACACCAGCAAAGACACGATTTTTGATTAAAAAAAAAAAAAGTCAGTCTTAATTTTCCAGGATGCTTTTAATACTCGATTTCTTCCTGAGGATGCTTTTAAAACACAATTTCAGTCAAAGCATGATTTGAAACAACATTTCTAATGTTAATGTGGCAAAAAGCATATAGATTTAAGAAATAAGCTCAAAACTGGATGAGTTTGGGAAACAATTTTTTATCACTGTATGAATTTTACCATTGACTCCCCCATTGGCTGCCCCAATGTTAACATCAGAATAATTACCACTTACCAGCAGCTGTCCCTGACAATATCCAGGGTCATCGAGTCAAAGACTGCATATCAGTTTGTCAATCCCTCTATGCCTTACGAACACGATCACGCCATGAACCTGGTTGCTTTGCAAGCACCTAGAATCATGCAAGAATAACTGATCATCTATTTCTCTCATGAATACATGTGCTTACAATGCAACATGCAAATGCAAATACATACTTGAACAGACAGAGTAGTCTAGAGTTCACTCACCTTCTCACTTAAGAGGCTAGCAGCCAGACCATTATCATTGCTATTTTTTTTATGTTTTTCCTCCTCCAGTTCACCGTCTGCAGTAATGGAAAGAGGAACTGTTGATGCCCCAAAAATGGCCTCATCATGAGCAGCTTTAATTTGCTCCTCCCTTCTTGCCTACATATTCACATGACATTAGTTACACCAGAGCCATCAAACTAATTGTCTCCCTCAAAGCTCAATGGATGGAAAAAAAGCAGGACTGGTATGCATGAACATCAAATGGAATTTGAAAGACTGACAAATACAAATGAGAGATGCAACACCTTGATGGCAGAAAACCGAAAACTTTGACCAATATGCTTGACTAGTGCTGCATCGTCTTCAGCAACTGCAAACAAGTAAGCACATCCAGTAAGTTCTATTTTGCTCTGTTCATCTCAGTATTATATGTATATCAAGCAAAAGGTCACAAAGTTCCCTCGTATAGATAAATTCATATATGCAGCACATATTCAATGACAACCAACTTAAGTTACTAAAATTGCTTCTAAAATACAGTTATGAGGGAATATGATAGACGTTTAACCTTCCATTTCCTCATCATCAAGTGGGGCATCCTTGTCAAACTCAAAGCGTTCCCAACCAGGGCCTTTTGCAGGATCCTTTTCAGCTGCATTCAAGATTTAATGTTTAATAATGGGGAATGGAGAAAAAAATATCACACACACACCTTGAAAGGAAACCTACTTAGTTAGCAAGATCATATAGAATGTTACAGCCACTGCCTTTCAGGATTAACATTGTCATGACAGTACATGGGAACATATTTCATACTAACTGAAACAATGAAGAAATTATAGAAAAATACTTTATGACTTGCGAAACTCATAGTTTTAAAACTAGCAAATGTTCTGTGTTTATGAAATTAACAAAGATATTACAGAATAATGCACTACTATGCCAGCCTTTTAGTTGCATAAGCATTATTGCCGAAGAAGAATGTAAACATGCAACAAAATATTCACAAGACTTCTCTAGCAAACTTTAGACACAGATCGCATCTGTATGTCAAATGCATCAAGATGAATTCAACTTTCTAGTTTAGCAGTTACCAAACTTTCATTCTTAAGATCACACTAACTTCCCATGAAGATAAACAACAGTATGCCACCTCATAACCAAAAGTATAATGCTTAATTGATAGTATCAAGACATTAAAAGCTCAAGAAGAATGGCACATAGCACCATCGAAACCCTTGAAACTCGAAAAAAGACAGAATGGAAATCCATATGCAAAATAGGACAAATTACCTGTTTCAGCAAGCTGAAGTTTCATCTTGGCTTTAACTCTTTCAGCTGGTGACTGTTCACAAAAGAAATATGGCTTTTCATCACACCTTAAAGCAAGGCACTTACACAGAGACAGATCAAAGCACATACAGGTCATTGACAAAGTCACCCTTTAGAATAAAGAACCGAGAGTTTCATGACTAAAATTAATATAAGGCATACAGTCCGGACTTAGGATTGTCGACAATTTCCCAATGTCAGGCACATTGAACAAAAAATAGGTTCCTAATTCAAACACAACACAATCAAACTCAGGTTCCATTCTAAATTAGTAAATCTTCAAATGTTACTTTTTTTTTCCTTGTTAATGGCATATAATAACTTTCGAAATAAAATTCCATATCTCTTTCTTTCAACCATGCTTTCGGTATGCTACACACATCTTGATAAGTTTAATAGATAATAGTACACAATTGTAGCATGAAGTCGACAAATTGAAGATTAAGCAGTTTAGGGTTCTGATTCTTTAAAAACCGAGTCGCAATAATAAATGTACTAAGCTAGAAGAAATACCTTATACATGAAAATTAAA